AAAGAAATTACTTATGTATTTTCCTTGCAAAGATATAAATCAAAGAATGTGTGTTGTGGACATTACAAAAAAATCAACCAATAATTCTATTGATCATTTTTAATTCCATTCTCCTGTGAAGTGTTAAAAGGTATAAACTTGTAAAATGGTTTAAAATGTTCCCTAAAGATGAAAGTTTATAACTGTGTTGAAAAAATCACAGAATAGCTTTGTGTGTTTGCAGTAAATAAAAACATGCGTTGTGGACATTACAGAAAAACTGTGTGGACATTACAATTTGGGGATATGGTAAAAATAATGGTATTAAGGTATTGTATTGATATAACATGCAATTTTAAGGACGTTATGTGTGAATGCAATACCTTATTGCTCTTTTGGTGCTAATAACTATCCCATAATATTTATGAATGTTAATTTTTTTATGATAATGACATGGCCAAAAAACTATAATTACTGCATTATGTTTACTTCTATTCAGGACAATTTAATAGCCTTTTATTGAGCATACACACCATTTTTAGCAAGCTTTGTTATATGATTATATTAAAAAATAAAGCAATTTCAAGGCAAACTTGGACAGAAACAGCAAAAATACCTTTTTATAAAACCTTTTTTTATTACCAGAGAAAACCCAAATAATGAATTTAATTTAGCAAAATTTGAAATTGCCTTAGAAATTCTGAAATAAAAAAATTTTATATTCTACATAGTCAATGGTGTTTTGAATGAGATCATGCTCACTGATTGTATAAAGTAATGAGCAGGCTCAGTAATGAAGACTGCTGACCAGTTAATTGACATTCCCTCTTTCTAACATTATCAAATACCAAAACTTACTTAGTGAATTATCATGGTAAAAACAAGCACAGAAAGGTACAAAAAGTTTAAGGCAGAGCTAAATGAAGATGTGAAAAGGTACAATGTATTCAAGATCCCTGAGCCCAATATCACAGTAGACCAGTTCTACGCAGTAGAGTACCTCACCAACTACTACATTGGCAGAGCACAGAGTGTAGAAAACCAGATGGTGACCTTTAGATATCTACACAGAGTAGGAGCTTTCAAAGTTGACTTTCCTGGAAGAGCAGATATCAACACGAAGCGTGTCTCTTCAGTTTTCTTTGGTCCTTTGACCATTCAAAATTATTGTTCAACTTTATATGAACAATCAAACCATTTTTTTTTAATAAGGAAAACATTAGTAAGCCTATTACAGGCTAGCTAGAAGTTTGACACTGAAATAAAGTTATTATTATTATTATTATTATTATTATTGGGAGCACAGGTCCTTTTACTACTCCCTTTCAAAAAGACATAGAAATAATAATAATAATAATAAAAGTCTTTATTAAGCACTCTAAACAACAAACGTGTTTAGTTACAATGATATGAACTCAGCAAGTATAAAACTAATTAACTAAATTACTAACTGACTAACTAATAAGAGAACAAACATCTACTAACAAAAGTCCTCTTGAAACGTTCTGTTCTGACAAACGGGAGAATATAATTATGGCGCCTCTTACGTAGCGTAACCATTGGTCACTCTGGTGGCAAAAGGTCATCTAAAGCTGTTGTAAAATCGCTGTCGGTGATCTTGGCCCACAACTTTTTATCTTTTAGAATAATATTTTCAATCGAAAAAAGCTCTTTACAGTAATCAAGCTTAAAAGCTCTCTTGAACAGCCTGTCTATGCGACTCAGATACTTATGATAATACACGCAGCCCCATACTTCTACAGCATATGTAAATATAGGTAGAATAAGACTGATATAGTTTCTACTTCATTGATTTAAAGATCTTTTCTATGCTTGATCAAGCATGATTGTTTTGTGAATGTGATCATGGCTAGTACATTTTGTAAGTCCATTTAGAGCATTCTTTGTTTCCATGTTTTCAAAGTTGCAGTTTTGTAGGTTAAAGTTTACTTCAAATTATTGTTGAACTTTATATGAACAATCAAACCATTTTTTTTTAATAAGGAAAAGATTCCTTACTAAAGTTGAAGAACTAGTATCTTCAGTTGATTTCCATCAACATTTTGGAGAAAATGAGGAGAAAATCAAATCATTTTGGGAAAAAAGGATGTTGTAATATCCACAATGTAATGTCTACATTAAACTTTAGGTGAAATTTCTGAATAACCAAAGTGAGATGCAAACAGCATTTTGATTCTAAAATGATCCTTGTATCAAGCTAACAGAACACCATTACCAGCTTCTGAATTGAGCTTCCAGTTTTACTAGAAATTAAACTTGAAGGTGCAAATGGTGTGGACATTATGTAATGTCCACAACAGAAGTTTGAAAATTTATTTTGAAGAAGAGATCAAGTATTTCTGAGATTTTCTTTGACAGTTGAAAGGTACAGGTAATAGCTATAATTTCATGACAAAATGAATGCCTTACTCCCCTTAGCAGAATTTTAACTGCAGAGTTAAAAATTGTAGGTGGAATTCCAATTTTAATAGTAAGCAACATAAATTTTTGAGTGGCTGGTATGGAATGGGCATGGCAAGTAGTGACAAAATTGTAACAATTCCAATCAATATGGTTATCAAGCTTTCAAAATACATTAAATCTACTAAATAAATATATTTCTAAAACTAAAAATATGATTTTTTCAGTGTCTCATGTGGAATTTCCCTTAAATGTAACATGTCAAATGTACACATCATCACATCACATTGTTCAAATTTATACCTGCTTGTCTCCATCATGAACAAACACATAAGCCTCTGTGAAGTTTTCTCTGTTGATATCAAATAAAATGTTAACAATAAAAGAGGAAGCTTTGAAAAGCTCAAAAGTACAGAAAATTGGCTTCAAATATCAACTCTTTTTGACATCAAATGCATTGTTGCTTGAAACATATTGTACTTACCTACTCCTGTGAAAGGCACCCTTAAATATATAGAGAAAAACAAGGAAAGAAGATCAAATATTAAGAAAGAAGCAAAGTTTTACTTTTAAAAATTTTCAGTTATATTGCAAATTAGACATTACAGCTAAATTAGACATTACAGTAGCTCAGGCTAGTAATCACCTGTAAGTACTTGCCACTTTTCAGTCCAGCCTGTATTTTTGCCAGTGGAAGATGTTCTGGGTAAACCCACTTTCTTCTTGTCTTGTCATCTATCTACAAAATAATTTTATTTCAACAAAACGAAGCAAGGAATCAACTTTGACTTTCAAGCATATATCATGACCTAATATGATCAAAATAGTAAATACTACCCTCAGCTTAACAATCAGATGATGAAGCACTCAAACCTTAAAAGTCACCTAAATGTAGATGGCTGCAATACCTCATCTTGTCCTATGTTGGAGGAGAGGGCGAGTCGGTCAGCTAAACTTTCACATCCTTCTAGACTTTCAACTTACTCTTGAGCTGTGAACACCAATACACAAGACAAATATTTCAATCCACAATTAGACACTGAAAACTAACATGAATATGCTGATAGACGCTTGATAGTTTAGCTAATGAATGTTTTTTTGATGAAGCAAAAGCATCAGCCATTGAGTTTCCTGAGGTTATCAAGACAAAAAGTTTCTAGTTAAGAGTAATAGGAGTTAAGAGTAATAGGAGGCAGTGTGGCGGAGTGGTTAGAGTGTCGCACTCGTAATCCGCTGCTCCCGGGTTCGAGTCCCACCCTGACCACTAGATTTGCTTCACGGTAGCCCTATGTTAGGGGGATCTCCTTGGCCACGCTTGGCCATCCTTGGCCAAGGATCTCCTTGGCCACACTTTTAAATAGCCAACTGGTTTGCCTCCGGCCGGTTGGGGTTCTTAATGACGTTCTTAATGATGTTATGTTCAATTTAGACCATTTGTTTCATTTGTTTGCAAGGACCACTGTTAAGGACATTAGCCAGAAGGCTCATTTTTTGATTGATTATTGATTAGTTCACTAATTTCAGAATGATCTTAGATAGCCACATAGTTACAATGCTTATCTGTTTGTCTGTATTTCTATTGGTTTTGTAATCGGACCTTTCAGCGTCACCACGCGCATATAAAAGGCAATTTTAGCGTCCCTTTAATCAGTTCTTGTAAGTTTTGAATAGCCTTGGTAAACTTTCGCCCTTTCGTTTTTCTCAACCTCTGGCACAAGCGGGACCGATATGTGAGTACCTTTGTAACTTTGTTTTTCCCTCTCCAGTCTTTTCAGTGTTGGGCGACAATATACAAACAAATATTGCAATGATCTGTATAGATTTAAGATTCAAAGGCCAAATTCGTGCCAATTTGCGAGTCAGTGAACGCCCATCATTTAGATAGAACAATGGGCTGTTTATCAGTCATCAAAACTCTTTTAATTTGTTTCCAAACTTTTGTTCTGTTTCCCTTGTAATGTTAATCTCGTTATAGACTTTAGAGCCCAGTATTTAACATGCGATTCTTTCATCATGTATTCCGCTGCTTTTCGTTAGATTGATAAAACTTCATTGTATTGTTGTTTCAGTTTACGATCGATCGATCGTTCGATAGATTGATTGACTGTCAGAATAATCGTTATTTTCGTCATTGATTGTGGTTCGTGGTCGATTGCCTTTCAAGAATAAAGATTCGTGCAGTCAACTTTGGGTTGTCATTTTGATCAGTAAAATAGTCCCAAACACCTCGTTAACCGCATTTTGGAGCGACACACCCTTGAACTTGAGAATTTAGATTTGGTCGCCGTAAACACTACAACCACAATGGAAACTACTGGTTCACCAGTAATTGTGTAATCTTATAAAAATTTTTTTTTTTTTTTTTAATAAAAGGTAAATGTTGATCATACCAGTAAAACAAATGATTCCCTCTTTCTTTGCCTTCTCTTTGTTTGCTCTGTCATTTGTGAGAAGAACAATCCTTATTCTTAAATCTTCATTCTTTCCTCCTTCACAGTCCTTTAAATGCCCATCATACCAACTGAAAGAGATCAGTAAAATGGACCCTAACAATAATGTTTATTTTCCTTTCCGACTAGTTCTAAATGTCAGAAAGGCTTCTTTCCGGAAAAAGAAAACAAAACTTAAACTTCACTCAGGTTTGCCATTATGCCAGTTAACAATAAAATTTGACAAGGAGCTTTGTAGGTAATAGTTACCATACACTTTCCTTTACGAAAGACATATTTTCCAATGATAACACGAGCAGATGCTTTTTATTTCACAATAGTTTGAAACTCAGTGAGTGTTCTAAAAAGGTCTGGAAAAATAACTAAGCTCAGAACAAAGATTTACATCTCACACATGAACACTGGAATTTAGCTCTAATTACAAAACTTAAAGTTAATTTTGATGTCATTTCCTGTTGAATCAAATCAAGATACCTTGCTGCCACTCTTATCCCTCTGTCATTTCTGTCATTTGAAGATTCTTCCTTTCCTCGTTCAACATATGTTTCTCTTGAGCCAAAACAAAAATATTTACAAGTTAGGAAATGTAAAATCATCCAGAAGGTAAGCTCTCACTACAACAGGATATAACATATTACCATAGTTTCTTGGTTATACGATGCACCGTTTTTTCAAGAAAATTCTGTCTTCAGGTGGAAAATTAGTACTGAAATTGGGGTGCGTCTTAAAGCCAAGTATTTTTGCATGACAAAAGCTTAAGATCAGGCTTTTAGCAGAACTTACAGATAAAAAGACAAGAAAATGACACTAATTGTTGGTCATTGACTTTTTTAGATCTGGTGGTTCTGGAAAGAACCAAGGTGGCTTTGAAAAGAGCTGTTGTGGTGGTTCTGAAAGAGCTGTTTCTTATACAGCCTCTGTTAAATGACCACAAAATGAATCCCACAGGAGCAGAGCTTTTTGGTCTGAGGTGTTGCAAAGATTGTATAGAATCCACTCCTTTATTCCTATGAATTAAAAAGGAATGCTGCTTTTAGAACACTAATCAACTTCCATAGAAAAGCAAACAAATAGAAATTTGCATAAGTGATTAACACCATGTGCTGTAACATGATATACATGACAATAAAACAATCATACAAACCTTGTTTCAAATTCCTAGAATTGTGCTTGAGTCATTTGCTCGAAAAGTTCCTTCTCTGAATAAACGATATGGAGATAAAACCTACTATCTTCGTCTATCCAGCCTTTTTTGCACACTGAAACTTGCAACCTTGGTGGCATGTTGATATTCAGCTGTCACACACCTTTGAAGATGACTTTTGGTGGGAGTTTTTTGCAGCTTTTACCGCCAGAGCAACCGTAAAACTTTCTCAGTTCCGTCACATCCTTTTGTTAAATCTCAACCCTCTGGTGCGTCTTATAACCAGGTACTTTCACCTAATTTCAATTAAGGGACTTGGCTTGACTAATTTGCTAAGTTTGGGGTGTGTCTTTTAACCAAGTGTGCCTTATAACTGAGAAACTATGCTAATATTTAATTTAATTGCTATTAAGTAAAGAATAATCCTTAGGGATCCAAGATAAATGGATGGATGCAAAGCAAATATTATTTCATGAACCTTTTTGATAGTATAGATTAAAAAGTACCAGGCTTACCTGTGGTGCTCATTTGAAAAAACAAAAAATTTTCTTTCTTTACTGGATATCAATTCCCTGATTCTCTTGTAAACTGAGGCATTGAGATGCTGCACCTGAAAGAGATTGGAGACATTGGTCATAACAAGAGTTGATCTAATATGGCAACATATTAAATCAATGTTATTAAAACTTAATTGACAATGAAACGTACAAATTTGCAAAACACAAATCTTCATAAAATGATCATTTATAAAGTTTAACATAAATGATAAATAAAAACGAGGTTAGCGTACAGAGTCTTGGTTCAAAATGAATTTTTAGGTCCAAATTATTTCCAACTTATGTCAGCTACTTGTAATCTGTACTTTGCTTAAACACATGTATAACATTTATGAGAAAATGAAAACGAACACCTGTTCCTTTCATGTCGTGTACACAGTTGAATAACAATAAGGATCCTATAAATTTAGAGCATCTAAACAAATAATTCAAGGCGCATGACACTGAGCTTGCTATAAGTCTGGGTCCTTGGATCGTCATTAAACAGCTGATTTTAACTTTACAATTTAGTTCCAGAGCGAGAACTCACCTCTTGCAAGACAGTTTGTAAAAGTATTACATTTGTGAACACTGGATCTTCTAAAACATCTATCTGATGTAACACAACATTTGTGTCAGGTAATAAATAGTGTGGAAATGTATATAGTTTAGATGGGGCGCGAGGCGACGAATCCAGCAAATTATCATCTGTTTGAACGCAGTTTGTACAGTGACTTGCTCCGCACCATACATCATCTCGTAAGTAATGTTCCCGGACTATCTTCATTACTCCACCCTTTCGTGTCTTCTTAACAAACACCTTGGATCTGAGCATGATTCCAAAGTATTAAGATGGCTCTTTCATCCACAAATTAGTGTTAAAATATGATGAAAAATGAATGCACGCGGGCCGCCATGCTGTTTTCTTGCTATAAGCTCTGTGTATGCCACATCACACCGTACTCGATGTAGATGTAAACTCGTCCCCAATCGCCTTCACCGCGCGTAGCACGAGCGTGTGGTTCGGGTATGTGAAGGTTTTGGTCGCGGTTAAAAGGGTTGACTCAAAAGGACCTCATTAAATATTCTATAGAAAACATATTTTTATGTTTTCTTTGATTTACATTTTTTTGGATTTTCACTACAAATATGTTTTCTAGAATATTTAATGAGGTCCTTTTGAGTCATCTCTTTTAGCCGCGACCGAAGGGTTCACCCCCGCAACTAGTTTCTCCCCACGTGTGCAAAGCCCTACAACGTCATTGGTTAAAGTAAAATCTTCTGATCCTTAAATAAAGTAATTGTTTACTTTGATGAGAATGAATTTTTTCTTGACCAACCCAGGAAATTCACATAACAATTCTTTCATTATCTTTAGCACAGCTCTTATATTTGGATGCATAAGTTATGTTGTACATTGTGCTTTTAATGGTCTTTTTCTGTAGTACTAAACAATGTGTGATGAACTATAATTTTACACATGCACCAAAACTTGAAAGCACAAAAACTTTACTAATTCTTATATTTTATACAAACTCATTTCTACAGTTCTCCAGTTCTATTGGTTTCTTTGAGATTTCAAGGTATTTACCATTACAATTGGTAAAATAAACATCAAGAGTCATCTAAAACTGATGAAAAAGTAATGTATATTAATTATATTTTCCAACATTGATGCGAGGCTGTAATGAAAGTTTTGTGGAGTTTACAGGTCTGAGTCCAGCTGAAGCTTATTCCAGGCCTCATTGAGCTCGGTTTGAACAGCAAAGTTGGGTTTAAACAACAAGTCCTGTTGAACATCTTCAGGAAGCTCTTCCAGTGTTCTGACAGTCAAACCATGTTCCTGGACAACCGAGGGATACTGGATGCTAGCCTGCTCTAACCGCACAGACCTGCGTACAGGTGTTAAGATCTGCTTTCCAAATGTTTTCTTAAACCTGAAAACAAAAATTTAACGAGATTGCTGTACATCTAATGATATAAACTATTTCCTGAATTGCTTTACATGGATCAATTAGAGGGTGAGCACAATGTTCATACAGTATCTAAATAACATTTTTTTTAAGGAAAGTCTAAAGATTAGTGACTACTGAAAGTATTAAGTAAGCATCCCTGAAATTTCTCACTTTTTTCTGTAAGGTGTGACCTCCATTAAACAGAACTTTATGATGGAAGAGTTCAGCTCCTCTGACAAAATGTCTTTAACGTCAATCTTAGCTTCATGTGGAGGAGATTCATGTGGTAGTGATGGACAAATCTCATCTATAAAATGCATGTCAGCATGTAAAATCAACAAATGATATAAATCACTTTGAACAAAATTATTCCTTATTTTGACAAGACCTTCCAGAGATGGTGGAGTGTTTTGAAACATGGGGGGAGGGGGTGGGAGGGCTTATCTTTCACCCAGCCATGTACATACCCCTACTTGGATTTTCCAAATGCCCTTTCCAATATTCGTTGGCATAAGCAAGCCACTGCAGTATTAACAGTTTTGAGTGTGTCTGTATTCAATTTGTGACCTACTTTCCAGCGCAGTCTATTATCTTTCAACTTAGCATTTGACTGAGTTCCCACAGACAAAATTAATGCTGTCTAGTTTAATGGAGACCTGCTGCAGTTGATAAGCTTCTTGTTCACAGGCCAAAGCTGTTCAAAAGAAGTTTTACAACATATTATTTTTCCAAGCATGTTGCTGATTGAAAGGATTTGTGAAAGGATCACAAGATTGAATATCTTCTCAATTTTATGCCATGCTACCAATATTTTTGGTGGTACCAAAAATGTACTCCACTGCCTATGCCTTCCATTTTTTTAACTTAGGAGGCATACCTTTTGGCTCATTTTCCTTTATGAAATTCACAAAAGCACACACTGCATCCTTCAGGACTGAATCTGGCTAAGAAAAAAGAGTTAAACGACCATAATAAGTAACAATTATAATGGTACTTCCCTTAAAGTGAAATGTAACAAAAAGGAGATGATGAGGATGTATGATAAACAAAAAAAAACTTTACTGAACTTCATCACCAGAAACTTTACTTAATCTGAAAATAATGAAGGTGGAGTTTGTTTTAATCTCAGACTATAACCTGTGCCTTGAAGACAAAAGCTTGCTCCAGTAAGCACACTACTCTATTGTAGTCTTTCTGATGTTGGGCAATCTTTGCCCGGCACAGCCAGTAGTTCGTCATCTGACAGATGCGTGAACATGTTGATCTGTAGAAATCCAGCTTGGACCCTACTTCATCTGCATCATATTCATTCTGAAAAAAATACAATCTTGGAAATTATCAAGTTCCTCATAATAACTGAGCTTAGTTTAAGCATAACTGAGGCAGACATACACAACAAATGGTTGCTGATTTTCCTCACTTTTCAAACAGTCCTTACATTAAAGCCAAAGGAAAAATGTAAAACATTTTAACTCTTGTTCAATGTTGAGTAGTTCCACATTTTCAATTTTCTAAATAGACTAACTGCTCAATCTCTATCAGTTACAATTGAAAAGACTAGTTAGTCCCAAACAACAGAAAACCTGTTAAGAACTAGTCAGAATGAAAACTTAGATTTAAGGTGGTTTGAAAAGCTTTTTAAGTCACAGCACATCGATCCTTTGCATACCAATTCTAACTGTTGCAAACACTCTTGCAGTTTTCCTTCAACATTTTCCCCTTCATCAGGTGAAATGGCACAGACATCATTGTCCATGACACAAGCACTTTCCTCTCCTCCCTTAAAGGAAAGTCTCTTTTTTTCCTCCACGGAATTTCTTTGTTGAACACTTTTGGAATGTTGCAGCACAGCTGGTGTCCTGTACTTTGGTGTTTTTCTGTGACAGACAAAAAAAAAACAATTCAAGTGATATCTGAACCCAGTCTATAGTTTCATTTAAGTAGCTTATTTGTAGCCAGGTTAAGTTCATTGATTCAATCTAGATGTTATGAAAACTACTGCCAGCTCAAAGTAAGAGTTCCAATGGAAAGATTTTATAACAAAACCACATCATGTGAAAGTCTAGTGTGATTGTCCGGGTGAGTGTAGTCCTGAGAAGGACTGTTGTCGGTGGTAGTGACTGACGTTTCGACAACCTGTACTGAAGTCATCATCAGAGTCAAGTGAATAGTTGTCAGTAGAATGTTCTCATTTCAATTCGTGTAAAATGATTGGTCAGTTTTGTAGTGATGTTATTGGGCGTAAGACTCAGTTACTAACCAACGCTAAAGACAAGGATGAACCGAGGAACAGACAGGGAGTGATTTATAAGATCAATTGCTCCGACTGCCAAGCCTCCTACATCAGAGAGACTGGCAGAAACCTCGCAACAAGACTGACTGAACACAGATGGGC